TGGGTTTCAATTTGGAACCTCTTCTGTAGGTGTGGCCTGCTTTCCGGGTCCACTGGTGGAACCTCTTCTAACCGGTTCGGTAGATTTGATGAACTGGTTCTACCGAACTGGTGCGAACTGGTAGGAACCCACCTCTGGAGTGCGGGTGGGCAGCTTCCATGGGCAAGCATTACAGAATGTGGGTGGGTGGGTGCCATAGGCAGGCACTATCGAGTATGGGAGGGCAGGTGGTGCTACCGGGTGTGGGCAGATAAATGCCACAAAGAGATGCTTTGGAGTATAGCTGGGTACTATGGGCAAGTGCTACAGAGCATGGACAGGTGAGTGCCAGAGGTGGCCACTACAGAATACAGGCAGATGCTATGGAGTACAAGATCCATATGCTACCTGAGGGCTCCTCAGAAGAAAAAGTGACAGGAGGAGTGTTGAGATCCCCTGCCAGCTTTCCTATAGGATCTGCTTATAGGAAGCCAGCATGGAAAGTTGCAAAAGGTGATCACATGATTGCAGGACAGTACGAACATAATGGCAAGCCAGTAGCCAAATACCTGCATAGTAATCACGTAACTGTGGGGATGCTTTGATGGCTGCAACTTTGAGAACAGGACACAACTCCCCTTGTATAGCATTGTTGCAACTTTGAATAGTTACTGAAGGAGTAGTTGTAATCCAAGAGGGGACTGAGTCGGAAACTGGGTAGAGTCACACCAGGAGGGGATTACAAAGCTCACTAATTAATTAGTAATCAGACTCAGTCCAATCAGAGTACGGACAGTGTCAGCCCATACATGGATGCTATCTCCACCCTTATTGAGAACTAACCAGATCCAAAGATTGTTAATTATAACCTGGAAGTAAGCTAGGCAGTCTCCTAATAATTCATGAGAAACATCATGATCAAAATCAAAGATTGGATATAGGCAGTGCCAACATCTATCAAGAACCAAGCAACAGAACAATATGCTCTTTCTATTTTAAAAAATGATGGTCTTTGTTTGAGATGCAAATGGCACCAGGAAGAGTAGCTGAGACAAGGGGACAAATACAAAGCTTTCGAATCCTGTTCTGATGCTGAGTAGCCTCAGCAGATGGAGATGTGATTTGATGGTTGAATCTGAAAAGAATATGGAGTGGAAGGCCAGTATGTAATGATCTGCTTCTCTGTTATTTAGGCTTTTCAAGCAATTATCGGTTGACTAATCATAAAAGGATCGATTCTGAATGGACTTGTGATCCATTCTGGCGTATATAATAAACTGAATTCTGAGGTGCTACCGTGTTTCCCCGAAATTACAACATGTCCTGATAATAAGACCATGCCATATTTTTCCTGTGGGCAAAAATATACGCCCTCCCCCAATAATAAGCCCCCTGGACAACTCCCCCCTCCAGCCAGGCAGAGCGCCACTCACCAACCTAGCTATCCCAAAAATGCAAAGCCGCAGGAACTGGGGGGAAGGGGGCAAAGGCGCTCACATTGCTTGACGCCTTTGGGATACCATTATGTTGGTGAGTGGCGCTCTGCCTGGCTGGAGGGGGGAGTTGTCCAGGGGGCTTATTATTTGGGGGAGGGCGTATATTTTTGCCCACAGGAAAAATATGGCATGGCCTTATTATCAGGACATGTTGTAATTTCGGGGAAACACGGTAATCAAAATGCCACATTGTATAGGGAAGGAAATGATTAAAATCTGTCTTAAAACCTGCCCTACCCTCATGGGAAATGGCAAACTCAGGTTGGATGTTGTCAGCCTTACTAGGTAGATCAGACCAAGAAACAGACACTATGTATACCTAACACTACTTAGTAGTGTAATAGTAGCTGTAATAACATGTACTATTGTACTATATTATGTAAGAATGCACTTCCCCATCTCCTCTTT